AATTCTGCTCGCTATCTCTCAGGATTCACTTCGACTAAGAAATATTCTATCACTACTAATACAGCAGCAACGAACTAGCTTTCCCTCCTACCCAACCACCTACACCTTCTATAACTGCTATGAACCAACTATTCTCTGTAATTCGAATTAACCATTATAACTAATGCAGAGCAATCATATAATAGAGTTGCATAGCTGCGAAAAAAAATTAGTTATATGATAAAGCAATACTAGGTCTTTGTACTGCTAATACAACCCAAATAAAGTCAAATACTGAAATACAACATGTGATCTATAAAGTCATCTAATCTTGCAATAATGATCGCTTTGTTACTTCATTAACAAGCTTTATACTTGCTATTATAGATAGCAGTTAACTATATATTTTGTAATTTAATTATTATGTTCCTGGTATAAATAGTTATTAAATATACGGTATAATAATATAATTTACTAATGCTATTATAATTAGATTTTAGAAGACGATAATTCTGCTTTAACACCAGAATTAAGAACACTTGTACAAAATCGACAATTTTGGGCAAATGCAGAGATTTTAGCAAAAATATTATTACCCGCCAAAAATGCTGTTAAAATGGTCGAATCAAAATCTACAACAACTGGTGATGTCTTTTTATCTCTTATTCAAATGGCAACTGCTATTAATATGCTTGAAAATAGTTCATCTGAACACATAGAATTTCGTAAACAATGTGTTCAATTTTATAATAAACGATGGAAAGAATTTGATATAAAAATGTATCTCTTAGCATATTTCCTTCACCCAAAATATCGAGGAAAGGGTATGAAAGATTCAGTATTTCATCAAATTTTATGTTCCGCTCTTGAAATCTGGAAAAAAATTACTAATGGTAAAGGAGGAGTAACAAGCGCAAATATTTTAATAGCACAACTTAAAAAATATGACGCTTATGAACCTCCATATAACTTTACTTTTGTGGAAGGAATTGAATCACCAAAAACCTGGTGGTGTGGATGTAAACTAGAAAATCATTATTTACAAAAACTTGCTTTACATTTATTAGCAATTACACCCCATAGTGCAAGTTGTGAACGTATATTCTCAGTTTTAAGCTGGATTACTCAAAAAAGAAGAAGCAGGTAATTAAATTATTATATATATAATTAGACTCCTTAAATATAATCTCTAAATTCATATTTTATTATTATTGTTATAAAAGCTTTTTAAATACCGTATTTTGTGGAATAAAATATTCCTTAATACGTCTAATATCCCTATTTTTTTTTTTTGGTAATCTTGATGTAAAAGATCGGGATACGTA